TACGATTGTTGTAGAATTCGTCGGAGACGGCGATCTGAAGCATCGTTTAGCTGCATTCGCAGCTGCTTTAGTGATTGACGAGTGCATCTCCCCATCTCGCAGCAGGTCTCCCTTTGGACCGCGAAGATCCTACGGGAGCCCACTCTACTGTTCTTCTTGTCATCTGTCATCTGCTCTCCTCATGATATGACCGGCCCATCGTAGCTTGGCGTTTGTCATGTACTCCACAGGGTCTCGGAGACGAGACATTCTGCGTAGGTCTGCGCTGCTGAGTCGGGCCTGCTTAGCACGAGTTGAGATCAGATCTTGTCAAAATGTGAGAATAGTTTAGGTGCCATCTTCGTCGTTCCCTGGATGTCCGCGCTGTCCGACGAATACGGTCGTAGACCAATAGTGCTTCTTATGCTTATTTGTCGCGTAAGTACACTTAGTACTAAACTTTTTGATTTTGCTGCGTTTGCAAGTTCAAATTCTAGAGTCCCTTTTACAGAATCATATCCCATTCACTTGCTTCCGTCGCGCCCAATTACTATGTTTTTATATCGCTAAGGTTCATCATTGGAGCTTCAAGTGATGTAAGGTTTTGGTATAATTCACTGCTAAACAGAAAAAAGATGCGTTGTATAAAAATAACCACAAATACGCGGGTATGAAATAACAAAGGAGGGCAAAAAAGCTTTTTGTCTACTTTTGTATTGGGTTGTCCCATAATTCCTGGCCGATTTTTGTTCCACTTCGAATTTCTTTATGTCAAAGTAGCTTAACACATTGCGGACCGCCGTTATACGAGGACCTCCATACTTTTTTATGTTTTTAGAAAATGAATCATCATTAATCTATCAACAATTTTATCAGTGATGATACTTATGTTTCCTGGCTCTGAAAATGAGTGCAAACACTTCAAGAGCATTGAAAAATGCCAAATAAATCTGACAAACTATGATCGCTTGAAATCGGTACGCAATGTGTTAATATTGATATAATTTGATATGTTGAAGAACACATTAGGAGATACACCTCTAGCCGAGATATTCAGGAAGCTCAAATGCGCAACCTGGTAATTAAAGCCACGAGTCAGGATTAGGCAACCAGCAGAAGTTCTTCCCAGGGTGCGATAGTGGGCTCCCCAAGCACTGAGGGCGCGACACTATCGCGACCCAAAAGTGCGCGGCAATGGCGCTAAGGCCTTGCCCGCCGCGCTGCCCAGCTGTAATCCGTATCCACCGCGTACCCAATCTGGTTCAATCTGAACTGAGTGCCCCTCACCGCGTTCAACTCAACGACAACGACGTAATCCTCCCGTTCTCCCTCTCTCGTCCCGCCATTCGCTCGACTGTCGTCTCTCCGTCCGACTAACTAGCTGACCCGGCCCTCCTAGAGAAGCAATTTCGTGTTTCTATGGTGCTTTTTGGCTTTTTTCCTTCTCACTGACCCCTGTTCGCTCACTTCCGACATCCCATTGCCTCACGGTCGGACTACCGCCATGTCCGCGAAATAAGCGCTCAATTCAATCCCGAACGTGCGCTTTTAAGTCGGAATCAAAAAAGCAAAACGACGAACGCAACAATTATACCTCAGATCATTCTAACAGAGGAACGCTTGCAAGGGGCGCGTGAGGCAGGATCAGCCTGTTTGCGCAGTCTTTGCTACTGATCAAGTACTAAGCTATTGGCTCAAGAGCGTTGGCAGAGACGATAGGAGCTGCAAAGACAATCGAACTAATCATGAACCTCCAGTCACTCTCGAGAAAGACCCCTTGCGCTATGAGTCGGAGGTGCATCCGAGCGCTATTACCAGAAAACTGTAGCAAACATCTGGACGCAGCTTTACGCTCCATGATGCGCACTAATGAAGCATTTTGTACTGGTTACGAATCTCTCGCTGAATTGATCGGGAAATTTGCACTGACCAACGTTAATGCCAGAAACGAATGTCATTTTCGTAATCAGGGCATAGAATTACCCTATCGCCAATGCTACGGTAGTCTGTAGGTGAACGCAAGGATCGGAGCTGTGATACTTACGTGACACTAGCTAGAGCTTATCTACCCGAAATTAGGGTACTTTGTTACCATTTTTAGCGGATCCTATACAAACGATTCGAAGAAAGGCACAGATTTCAGCTATCCTTCAAGTCTTAACCACCTCGTCTGACTCGGTCAGACTAGTTGGTCGAATTTGCAATATTTGGATAGGGTTCTGTTTAGGATACTTAACGATGTTTGAGGGATCATGGGTGTGGGAGCGGGGATCGCTTTCGATGGGATTCCGACGATTCCGATGACAATCAGGGAGGAATGTGAATCATGTAAAATTAGAACGTGTGCCGTTTCTCAGACATATTTACCCTTATTTGAAATTGGTTCAATTCAAAGTTCACTCTCTGGGAAACTTCTAACAAAGTATTTTTTTGAAAATATGCGCCTCGTTATCCAATAGCCGATAGCCATCGCAACCTACTATCCTTTCCTTGTTAATCAAAACGAAGGATTCGTTTTAGAATATACCTTAGAGAATGACTGGATTCAGGTTTTGCTTGAAACGAATATTCCTTCTATCTTTCAGAGCAGATTCTACCACATTCCATATGAATGAGTGAATTGCTATATCTTTGAAGGAATCAACAATGTTATACGATCTTTTTTCAGACGTACCAGTCGGTTCGCGCTACTCTTACTTGTGAATTATTACCGTCAAAGAGCAGGGCATGGATTACAGTCGTCCAGACATTAGGTATCCTTTGTAGAAACCAAATGAAATCTAATAGTCAATTTAACACCGATTTGGAAGCGCAGGGATATGAACAAGAGCCGTCTGTCGAAGAGGACAGCAGAGGCGAACTGTAGTTGTCGTGCCTATGGTGCTATCTGGCATCCAATCACTCTTGCTGTAGTGAATGCTTTCGATTTCACGGTGTGTGGAAGTAATGATATCAGAGTAACCAAAAGTGGTTCGTGTTTTGGCAATGCATGAGCTGTTCCTTTGAAATGACATTCTGGAACAACGCTTTCCACGAGCTTGAAAACCCAGAGCATGAAGATTCCCTACCCAACCAATGGCAGGGAAAGTAGCTCCGGCATTTGTGAACTACTTAGTAACCCTGCACTAGAAATCGCTTGCAAGCAACCTAGGGTATATCGACTTGATGTGTTATGAATTATTGTAAAGACCAGATTAGTCCCCCGTCAACCGCCGGGACCTTCCTTTCCTGCGCAAGCTTTCTATCCTCCGCTATGGTCCCTTCCTCCTGTGACACCAACACCTCCTGGAAGTGACGCGTATGCACAATGGTGTTTCATACAGTAGAAGGGACACAATCATGATATGACGGTAGATTTTTCGCTTCCCTTCCTCATCCTCCCTTCCTCTCTCCACTGCCCTCCAGCTGCCACTGCAGCACCATGTGGAATGAACGGAAGTGTGCTAAGCAGGTGTTTATATAGCCCTAAGAGTGTTATCACAACTATGCTACAAAACATGATATATCTCAAATCCTGTAAGCTACCCGATTTGTTAGCGGTTTGTTTATCCCATGAGCTTCCTTCTCACTCATTTTGCGGACGGCACACATACATATACACACACATACAGACCTACAAACCGACACACAAAGTTAGCGCTTCATTAAAATAGAAGATTCTATTCGACCAACTCAGCTTGAAAGGCAAGCCATGAATTTAAGTGGCCGTGCAAGAGCATTCAATAGTGGAAATGGAAGAAGTGGTCTGAAAAAGAAAACAAAGGAAACCCCAGAGTTTCCAACAATGATCCTGTCTCTTGCAGCGACATTCCACCTAGGGATGGAGAAAGGGCGTGTTCGAGCGGCTTCCCTGAAGGGCTCGCTCCATTTGATCCAGTGCCAATTGGCTCTATCCCAGCAATTGAGACGAGCATAGAAATTGGCGCAGACGCCTCATTTATGCGGAGCTCCATTTCTTCTTTTTCTCTTTCTCTATTTCCTTTCTGGTTACATCTCCCTGAACTTCACAGCATGTGAATGCTGTTGGTTTCGATGCTGGTCGCTTCAAACGGTTCATTACAATTTCATTCAAAGTACCCTTTGGACAACGAATAGGAAAGCGCGACATTTGGTCGCGCTGTCGTAACTGCGGCCGAGCTCTTAGCGTAGGGCCACAGTGGCAGCCGGGTTCGTAGACGCAGGCGCACGCATCTAGCGGAATGCTCGCGCTTTTGTCGCGCACTTTCAAGCTGCAAAGGGGGCACGACATCAGCGTTGGTCCGCTTGTCCATCACAAGCAGGGATGGGGCTCATAGCGGTACTAATCTGAGCGTTCCTGCAAAACATTTTTCCCACCACAAAAGGTTTGACGAATTGCGATGGTAATATTTGTATCACTGGTAGTGGAAGGATCAAAAGATTGGAGTACATTCTTAATGTTTTGATTTCAGCATGGGGTGTTGGAATGTTCTGGGTCGGTATACTCTCTCTATTCATACATGACTGGCGACTGATGTACTTCGCGTGTGCGGCACCCGGATTCCTAGCGATCTTTTACTACTTGTTAGTTTTTCTAAGAAATTCATCCTTCATTTGAGGTATCTCGTTTGTGGCATTCATTTTGACGCAAATGCTGTCAAGAAGAATGGAGATGACAATAGAAAAAGGTCGTAGAGACAAAAAATTGGTTACTTGATAAATGGGGATGAACGCTAGACACTCTTAAGCACTAGCTGACTCTATGTGGGGCAATATTGAGGAAGAGAAGGAGTGATTAGTACTAATTTCTACATATTCGTCTTATACTCTACACTGAATTGAAGTTTGTTCTGAATGATAGGCTTCCGCCCTCGGTTTCATGTTTCTTATTCTCGGAATAGCGAGTGACTTCATCACCTCACGCAAATATTACTCAACTCCGCATTCAAAATTCATTACTATCCTGGAGATACAACAGACGTGTAGCTTGCCACGGAGTAAAATTGAAAATCATTAAAGAGAAGAACCTGAGCGATAAGTCTTTCTGAGACTTATTCACTAGTATGGAGACTTCTACGTTAAAGTCTGCACTCGGACTTTCCATCTTGATTGATCACATCTGGCAAGACTAAAGCAGAAGCCCACAACAAGAAAAGCCAAAGTGGCATGAGATGGTCTCTATAACGGAAGTGATGTAATATTCGTGATTAGGCTAAGATTTACACCTGCTGGCAATGTTTCGGGGGGGGGGGGAATCGTCAAAATGTCGACGCTGTTAATATGTATCACGCTTTATTTGTACATATTTTGCCAAATGATTTTTAAAAAAAAAATGGAAGTTCTTGTTAGGAAAGACATGCCTGCCTCTAGAAACCAGCTATGATCAGCTGGTTTGAGCACGGTAGGTCAAGGAGGAGGCTGTGGTTGTTGATCGCGGGTGGGTCATAGGAGACCACCTTGCCAGAGGGAAACGGTTCGGGCGGGAATGCACCTATAAAAGGGGTTCAGGAGTCGAGAGCTGTAGTGGCCCACAAGAGAGAGGGCCGAGGCTCAAACAGAGGTGACGAAGAGAGGCGTAGCTGAATAGTGAGAGGGGCCTAAGTGGCTTTTTAAAGAGAGCCTGAGTGGCTTGAGTTGATCAGCCTTAGTGGCAGTTAGTTGAAAGAGCCTCACTGGCTCGAGGTAGGAAGCCTTTGTGGCTTACGCTAAGAAACAGTTCGCGCCGTGCGCCCGACTGTGGTCCCGGATTCGGTGGTCGCCTACGAGTTCGCCAACGACGACTCGCCTCCGTGCCTCCGCTCACCAGCAATCTTTCCATACACACCCATTTATTAATTTTGTTTGTAAATAAACCTTTATTCTTTCTGCTCGTCTTTCACGCACAGCTGAAAAGGTCACTACTCCACTTCGCAGTACACAATCAAGGTTATCTAACCTTACACATTTAGCAGTTTTTGTCTCCTATATTCTAATTGTATCGAATCACCAAATCATTCGTTCAAAGATCAATGAGGAATTTTTTTGGATAGCACATGAGTATTAGACAATATTTGCTCATCCTACGGATATGTTTTTTCGGCTCTCACTTCGGGTTCCTAATAGAAGTTTCTCAGTTTCCTGCCAGAGTCACCTCATTGGTTGATTCAACACGAAGACCACAAAGGAATCAAGAATTATATCAAAACGTCCAATGTGTAGGTTTTTGAATGTTGTAGCATTTGGAAATATATCTTATTGCGTAACAGTTTTACTCGACATTTAATCACATTGTTTAAAATCTTAAGCGACTTTCTCGTCTAAAAAAGGATTTGTTGCATCATGATCAAAACACTACAGATGGAACAACACAACCATTGATGTTGGTTCTTGCCGCCGTGATGGGCCACCACCAAAGGAGAAACGAGAGACCTGTGGAGATATAATGCGAGACTCGCGGATGCTCCAGCTTCTCTTCATCAACGGTTTCATAGAGTAAGATATCAACATTATGAAGTTGCAGTGAGGTTCACCCAAATATCAGGTTGTTTGAAAGTTCCTGAATAAAGTTCCAGAATGTGGTGAACCGTGAATATCTCCTTATTGCTTCCACCACTTCAGCTCCGCACGCTACAGCGGTTACCTGGTTCTCCCATGCTCATCCTTCGCCCTTCATTAAAATGCTTTTACTATTTTACTATCCTACTATATATAATTCGCTAAGTATGTCTGTGTGTGTGTGTGTGTTTGTCACGAAATTCGTAGCTCGGGTCACAGCAACGATAGCGCCATGGTTCTTACATATGTTATAGGGGGTGGGATGGGGACTCAAGTGGTACGTGATAGGAACTGATAACGACTGATAATAGCTGATAAGAGGGGCTAGAAAGCGAGCATCGCCAATTTCGTTTTGTCGTTCATATTGGTACTAGAGCGTCTATACTTACAAGTGTTATGTGTGGTGGTCCCGGGACAATGGTGGTACATGAATGGAAGCGATAGCAACTGATAAGAGCTGATAAGGGGCGTCAGAACGCAAAGTCGTCGATTCCGTTACCTGGCTCGCATTGACACCAGAGCAACCATGCTCACAGGTGTTATGTGGGGTGGGACGGGGACATTGTTGGTGGTGAAAGTGGTTACAACTGATAAGGGCTGATAAGGGGCGTCAGAACGCAAAAGTCGTCGATTCCGTTACCTGGCTCGCGTTGACACCAGAGCAACCATACTTACAAGTGTTATGTGGGGTGGGACGGGGACATTGTTGGTGGGTGATAGAAAGTGGTTACAACTGATAAGGGCTGATAAGGCGCGTCAGAACGCAAAAGTCGTCGATTCCGTTAGCGCTGACACTAGAGCGTCCCTACTTACAAATTCTATTTGTAGTGGTACGTGCACATTGTATCATTGTATGACCAGCTTACTTAATAGCAGTCGATTGCATAAACTCAATCAAGTCTTCAGCAAATGATAACTTTCATTTCTATCAAGAAAGCCCAAACTCATTAAACCGCTAATCCTTTCGGGGTTCTAAATAATGGTGAATGTAAATAAATGATAAGCCTTAGCTCCTCACTTATGTAAATAGGCATATTTCATTTTCATTTTGAGACTGACAGCAATCCTATTCACCGCTAAATTATCTGAATTCAAGAAGAATGCTGGATGTTTACAGTTGTGAGATAAATATGCCAGTTCAGCTCCAGACGTTATCACGCGTATTCTCGATGGACTTCAGCGAAACTGGGAAAGGTCTAACACATTCAATAGTGAGGTGGTTAATGGAGTACCTCATGCTGATATTCCATGGGTCTTCCAGTTTCGCTAAAGCCTGCCGTGTGATGCGCGCGATAGCGGGCGGAGCAAAACTGGTTGTATATAACCAGAACAGATATCGGGCAGTGCTTCGAATGGTAGATCAATTTAGATTGCCTGTTTAACTGTGCCGTTGCTGCGCGTTAAATGCGTTAGCTGACCGTTGCATAGGCTGATCATTTTAGCTGAAGCTCACTGTTTGGTAAGCGCAGTAAAGTGAGAGATAAAGTGATCTCTGCAAACAATCATCATGTATCAAATGTCAGGGTAAATTAGCTGTAATAGTAATAATACAAGAATAATATTTGATGCTAATGATGTTGAAATGGAAATACCTGTTACCCACTATTGTATCTCGTCGAACATCCACCGTACATCTTAGGATCTCTGGGAAAGTAGCGGTGGAATGGTATTTTGAGCTGGCGATAACAACGCAAATGAAATGATATTGAAATGAAATGCGTTATCTACAATCTGGTTTCAAGTAATCTCTATGTTCCACGCATATCGTTATTATCAGTCCTTATCAGCCGTTATCACTTTCTGTCCCCACCAAACATGTTCCCGTCCCACCCTGTACATCACTTCTTGGAACCAACTGCTGCTGGGACGCGCGCTATGAATTTCGTGAAATTTGCGTTTCAGCGCCTCTTATCTGCTCTTATCAGTCGTTATCACTTTCTGACCCCCACCAAATATGTTCCCGTCCCACCCCCTATATCATATCAAGAAATCAGCTCCTGACGACTGCTGCGACGCGTGCTATGAATTTCGTGACACACACACACACAGACACACAGACAGACATAGCGCTTTATATATAGTAGGGATTGACGATTGATGATCAGTACATTGATTTTGCATTCTGGAATGCTACTAACAAAAGCTCTTTTCATTGTTAGCACCGTTTTGCAAACAGGGAGAGTGGTAATTGTGTAGCTCCCTAAATATTTGTATGCCTTGCGAACATAACAAGCAAGACATGGTCTTCCGTCGGTGCAATCCCGTCTTAGGCTCTGACTTCTTCTCTACTTTTAGCATATGGTCGCGTAGCGCTTTTTGTTAAGTATTCACTTCTCATCGTTGATAGCCATATCGCTGAGGAATTCGCTCATACAGAGAAGCAAGAACTGACAAAGCGAGGGTCAGGATCAACCAGTCGTTGTGCAAAGTTGAAGCAGGGGTCGTATTTGACTAACGGAAGATGGTCGTAAGCGCAGCGAGCGTTCACGGAAACGTAAAATACACAGAGAAGTGGCAGAAGAGCACGGACTCTCAAATGCCGATACAACGACAGCCACAGACGAATACAAGGGTCCCCCATAGCTTGAGTTCTTACTGACCATAAGACCCTTCACAACCCAGTGAGCACGAGCAAATAAATCTTCAGAGAAATACCGATGAGAAGGGGAATGTGCGTCGTATTTGGCGGATTGAATTTTGGAGCCCGAACGGAACTTTTCTCCGAGGGGAAACTTTTTGATTTAGAATTTTTTTAGGGGTAACGCAACTTTACAGATTGTAACGATTTCATCGCTTCCCTTTGTTTTAATATTGAAAGAATTTATGAGCATTCGAAAGATCCTCTTGGCGGAAAATGGACGGAAAAAATCATAGAGAAAAAAAAACGGAACGGAACTATTTACTGAAGAGCGATCTTTTTAGAGGATCTCCAAGGCTGAATAGAAAGTACAAAATTCTAGCCTTAGAGATATAGAAAATTTGGATATGAAGGAAGCGGGGAATAATTCGATGTTCAAAGGAGGAATTCACGATTAGAATGAAGGTCGAAGAAAGGGAAACTGACCTAGTTGAGGGACCCACGGACCTCCTGAGGGTGCGAACTGACGCGCAATTCGCATGGAAAAATTTGACCTCGGCGACCTATCATGCCTCAAAGCTGGCGGGTCCGGCGATCTCCGCCCACCGATCATCTGATCACTCGCCGTAGTTCAATACGTGGCGAGTGATTAGATAGCTGAGAGAGCGTAGTGTTGAAGAGGGCACAGCGATGAGAGTCGCATCAATGCTCAAATCAACGGGCAAGGAAGGGGTCCCATTTCTCGGGTTCTGGGCCGTTTCTCATGGTTCTTCCTTCTTTCGTGTACCACTCACCATCCCTAGGTTAATTTGAAATGGGTTGCTTTTTCATCGTGAATTCGTCCTTTAAACTCTAATTTGCAAAAAACGGAACAACGAGGCGATTTTGTGATAAATTGAGCAGTAGCTGCAGTTTGAACATGTTTTACTGAAAAAAAAACAATCGAATTTGCAGTTTTTTGTAGTTTGCGGTGCCGTCGAAGGGGACGGATGCAAGAGCACTCTGGGGTAGCCAAGGTATTGGAGGCGATATGACGGCATTGCCGCAACCAGGCACTGTCGCAGCTCTTGTGCTTTCTTTTCAAGTTACTTCGCCGACTGAAGATGGCGGTAGGTATCTTCGCTCACTGATGGGTTTCTGCGTCACTGATTTCGCCGCATACATACATTACGATATATGAAGGCACTAACCAGTTTGTAAAGGGTTTTTATGAAGAGGCTGATATTTGCAAGTTGAGGCTAGGCTGGTGCCAGCGAATACTTTCCCTGGAACACTGTGATACTTTGATGTTTACTCGACTCAAGCTGTTATGCTAAAGAATTCATAAATCTATGAGATTCAGCGAACAGAAATTTGAAACAGCATATTACTGCATTGCAAATGAAGCGAGTTCCTATGCAGCTTTCCCTCCACCCTCCACATGAGGTTGGCTATTCGCAGTCATTGTATTGAAAATGAAGGTTTGCTGCATATCATAGAAGCCAAAGTCGACCTCATTGTATAAATCTTTTAACTATTCTTGTCGGCTTGACCTCATCAACAAGTCCTTCCAGAAACATTGTCTCTAATGACGCCAGCTGTTGCTTAGCCGTGAAGATGACAGCTTCAATGATACCGCTTTCTAAAATGCATCAACTGGACCTTGTTGAGTGCCCTAACTATGATTGCGATATTAGTTCAGCAGCATTTATTCGAAACCGTGGAAAGCTCTCCACAGGAGACTAGTGTCACGGTTTATCATTTATAAACATGTTGAGGAATCTCATTCTTTGCCCCCTTTGTCTTTGTTTTTTTTTTTGAGAGAGAGCACACCCAGCACAAATCGCTGTCGAATACATGCTTTCTGTTTTTTATGCATGTTTCCAATTTTTTAAGGTTTGTAATGGCCTTCTATTATTTTGGACTGTCCTTATTATCTGTCGATTTGAGCGACGATCGATTCACGGCATATATGTTATCTGCCTTCGTTGAAATACCGGGTGAGTGAGCAGCTAAGAGTTTAAATGCGAAATGTCTCGCATTATTCACGGAAACATTGTCCCAGAAGGACTGCTTGCGAGGAACACATCTTTAAAACTTACTATAGGCCTTTTGTCAGATCGTCCCTTCCGGAGGTTGCGCGGGAGGAGGAAGTGGTAGGGGATCCAATTGCCTACAAACTGCGAGGTCAAAGTCAGCCTTGGTGTATTGCCTTACGTGCTGTTATGGTTATAATAGGACACTCCAGCTTTCACATATACCTCTAAGCATGCATGACAAAATCAGGACCATGTCAAGGTTGCTACGAGTCAGTCCAAAACGATTTCGATGGGAACTCCCTTTAGTGCACACATCCACTGAATCGTTCTCGTACTTTCACGAAATTTTGATCTAAGGTTATGAACACGGCAAAAACTCGCGAAGAGGAAGTTATACCTTGGAGCAGAGCTGTGGTGGAGGACTCTTAGTTTAGTACCTACTTCACTGAATTTAGCGTACACCGAAAATATGACCCACTTGGTTTCACGGATTAGTATGTGGAAATCCTCTGTTCTGAAAGTATAAGGACAACCTGTGTGAGAGTGCTCGATCGTGAAACTCTTTCTTCATTCTAGTTCATCTACGATTCTTTGGACATGCTCACCAAGAGCACACTGCGCTTTCAATGTGATTGAACGTATTTAGCATACCATAGAAGAAGAGCATCCTGATGGTTCCGGATGTTCCGATAGCATCTAAGCTCTTTCCAATAGATCAGTCCACGCACAACTAACTACTTGCCTGCAGCGTAGATCTGCTTCACAAAATTCCTCAGATGAGTATAATTCTTTAGATGAGTTTGGAGCCGAGCTGGATGAGAGCCAATCCGCAACATTGATGTCGCTGACGCTATGCTGCTGTTGGGCGGTTCGGCTGCAGTAGATTTCATCGCTATCGTTAGCGAAATGGAATGCTATCGAAGGTCTCTACTTAGACAACAGTAATTTGTCAGCAAGAACATTCTCTTAGTCGCTGGAGTCTTTTCTAGACGACACGCAAGCGAGAGAGAGTGCAGCACTGCTGCAGAGGGCAATTCAGACCATGTGGGACCGGATTTCCTCGGCTCAAGACTACTGGATCTTTTTCGGGATTGCCTCAAATTGCTGTGTGACCCATCCGATAAGGTCTATTTAGTTCGTTCAAATCGGAAGTGCTTTCCTGTCTTGTTCAACCACCTACTGAGTTCCATGTCCGTTCATGTTCCTCTTAGCTAATTCAAGGCGAATTGTGCACTCTCGCACAAAACTCGTCGAGTTGTTACCAGATGATGATTCTCTAGAAGCGAAAGCTTATGCCGGCTTCGGCTGGCTGACTAATAGAAGTGGCAAGCGATTGCTATATATGACATACTTCGCCTTTGAATGATACTTGTGGCGTTCCGAAGATGCTATTGTTTCCATAACAACTGTACTTCCTATAGAATTGTTCATACACCAGGAAATTGATTGATTGAAGATTGATGAACAGCAATTAAGCATTTGACCTTGAAGCTAAAATCTCCTAGATTCACTAAAAATAATTGCTTTCGCTGGCGTAGTCATGCAATCGCAAACAAACTGTAAGTAAGAAGAAATTCCTCTATCACACGCTCTTGTCCAGGGTGCCCTTTGAATAGCTTTGAAACAAGGGTATTCTCAGGAGTTCTTCAAAATGTTTCAAGGTCGTATCATTTTCTGAGCTCGAGTGGATCTTGTTTCAGCGCATGTCGAATACAACAAAGTAGTAAGTCGTGAACCCTTCAACCTAACTCGGGATAGAAATTTTGGTGTCCTCATCTTTTTGAAACGCATTGTGCAGTCCGCTAACTTGCTGTATCGGTTTGTATACATGTATCTCTTCACTGCATCTATTTGCTCGTCCACAAGATGAAGACAGCTAGTGGAGGAACCATCACTGGTAGAATGAGAAGCTCGCGGTTCTGCAACTTCGAGGTTTTGTGATGGCATGATTGTGATGACACCACCAGCAACTACATATATAAACACCTATTAAACACCTCGCACGCTCGGCTGTTCCACATTTTGCTGCAGAGGCATTTGTTGGGCAGAAGGAAAGGGAGAAAAGTCAAACCCAACAAACTCGATATCCATATCAGTGTTAAGGTTTTTCTGACGCGGTCCTGTGAGAATGAGGCCCTTTTTGTGTACAAAACATCTTTGTTGTGCGCAGCATGTCCTCTCCTTTCTTTTGTGCAAATGCAGTCCCTCCAGTTGACTTTGAAAGAGTAACTGAACACATAAAGACGCGTAAAGCTTACGCAGGGGAAGGAAAGTCCCAGTCGGAGGCCGAAGCTGGACCTGGAATAAAGAATAAAGTATTAGAAGTTGATCGTCGCAGGCTCCAGACTGTTTAGTTGAGCGTCACGCTTCCATTTCCATACAGAATCATTATGCTATTTTGACCATGCAATGACTACTGGTAACCAGGTGTATCAGCGGTTTTTTCATAGGGACAACCCGATACCAATTAGGTAACCAGGGATGAAAGGTCAATTTGGACGACCCAGAATTTGACCCTTAGACCCTATGCATGGTAAGTGACAGCACTTCTGTCACAGGAAAGCTTTTAGAGGGTTAACATTGTCGAAATATGTCGAACTTGACTTTCAATTCTTCAACCCATATCAATAATTTAGGAGGTTTGGTGGTCCTACCTCTGATGCTGTACGCTGGCAGACGACCTTTGTGCATGTTTTCGTTGATTCTGCAAGGAGTATTTGTCATTGTCGCTCCATTCCTTAAAGGTTTGTCACCTTACACAGCGTTATCAGAGGAGAGCAACCTTCTCGATCTTGCGAGGATATGGCAGTAGAGAATTATTCCGACGTTGGTAATCGCTACGCTCGCTTCAGTGTGACATCCCGCTCGAATCAGTTCGCAGACTAGTTTACAAAATGTGGCACATGTGCACTATGTCGTATGATTTACCTCTGGCCAGAGATCCTTTGTACATTGCAGGGATAGTAGCTTTACTGACAATTTTCAAAATTTGGGTCATCGCTACAGCTTGACTTTGTGGTTCCTTTTCACTCACAATTCAATGCTTGCATTTAGCTATGCTTCTTCTCTTTCCGTCACCAAAACGTGTCATGTTTCAGGCTCGCACTGGTCAATGGTTGCGTCTTTTCTATTCGGAAAACTCATAAATAGGTTCTGATATTATATTACTACGATATTTTTTGTTTGTTTGGAGAGTGGTGTGGTTGGGTTTCATTTTCTTTTAATCCCGAGAATCCGATTCCTTTTACATTTAGATCTCTTTTGTCTGGAAGCTTGGGTTCGTGGCAGTTGTCCAGCCTCACCTTTCAGAGATTTCAAAGACCTTCGTCATTCGCTCATCGCCTTTTTCAGTGTTACCTATGCAGTGCACCCAATTTACATATCAGAAATGACGCCAACGTCAGTACGTGCGCTGTCGTACTCGATTATAAACATAGCCAGGAGTATTGGCATCATTGTTGCACCTTACCTTCGTCACGGAGTATGTGTATATTCATGTGGTTTATTTTGACGGCAATTCTTGATCTGTGATGCTTGCAGAGTTTTGGATCGGACTTGGTGAAATTCACCTTCCTTGGTGTGATTTGTATTATATCGGGAGCTCTATGCATTTTTCTCCCGGAAACCAAAGATCGTGCAATGCCCGCAGATATCAGAAGTCTAACCACGAGCGATAGCCACACTGTAGACAAAAGAGAAAGAGAAGAGCTCCTTAGGTGAGAAAGTTGCTCCTCTTTTTCTTTAACCCCTATAGAGATTGCCCATTAGCAATGTCTCCTCAAAGGTGACCAAGAATGACGTGAGGAAGTTTTTAACTACTCACAGTAGCTCGGATGCGCAAAGGGATGTGAGCATTGTCTAGTGTTTGCAATAGATTTCAGACCAATCAAGTCATGCGAAAGTCGTAGTCCACCTCAAAATATGTATGTATGTGTTCTCCTGACATTGTACCGTATGCTATTAATATAATCGGGATGAAATGATCTAATTGTGTGCCATCCTGGTGTTCAAATGGTATGAGAGAATTCTGCGAGCCTTCTCATTACACTCTGCTCCCACTGAAGACACAAGCTCATTCACTCATCACTGGAACCATCGAATCCTTTTCATTTTGAACACGACACGCGAAGGGGTTGAACGAAAGCGCGTAATCGCGAAGGCGATGAATGATTTCAAGGTTTTCTAGGTCGAATGGTGAAGGCCCCGAACGTTTTACGTGACCCTGCACGTATGATGCTTAGTCCGCTTCGATTCATTTGAAATCAACGGAAGTATTTTGGAGCTCCCTGGTCTTCATGACACCCTGTGCAACTACATTCGTTTAGAAGTGCCTTTCTTTCTCTATTGTCATTCGACTGTGCATCTCAATTCACATTCATTAACCACCACGCTTTCCATTTGCCTCAGGATGAACGCTGTGCGTGTAATCTTGTATTGTAGGCTTTGTAGAGCTAGACAAAGACAGAAATGAAATTTGCAATAATTTTGTGTTTTGCTGGTAAGCTTGAGGTATAACTCAACTGTGGTATTACCCGCTGACCAGAACCTGGGCATCAAAAAGAAAGGAATTATATGGCACCTTTTTCGTGAAAGCCCTGTTAACGCCCACTAACTTCTGAGTGCTGATTCGGCAGCTACCTAAACAGGTGTCCGTTACAGTTGGAGTAGGACTCACAAAAACGCAATCGTCTTAATATCGGCAATTCGAAGTCGAGTTGAGTCTGCCACCATATAGCTGATTTTCCAGTCCTTGGCATGCATACAGTTTGAGCGTAGGCCTTTGTTCCACCGCTCATCCTTCAACTTTCCTTCAAACCGCCCTCTGCCTGCACAGCAGGGTCACTTGACATACATATTTGCGTACGTGACGTAACGTCATCGCACTTTATCTCCTTCAACTCAAAGACGAGATTACGCTGGATTCTGGAGGGGTTCAGAGGGAACGTGTAGGTGGTCAATGGTCTGCCAGTGGCAAAAAAGCAGAGAAATCCGTCACGAATACGCATAGTAGTACCCCTCAATTGCATATTCATTTTCAAACATGAGCATTAGTTTTGAATTCGTGGTTGTGTGTTTTTATGTGTTTTGCTTGTGTTTACAGTTTTGAGTGTTGCGATGAAGTTAAGAGGGTATGCGAATGACGTTCTATTCGACGGGAGGGCTATACAAGTACTATTATAGATTCAATTTTGCTTCACCTTCGTAATTTTTGTTCTGGAATAATAGCTGTTTTTAGGTATTACACAACGATAAGAACAGTTGTATTCAAGTTGAGTTTTCTTGCACTTCGTTAGAAGATTCTGAAAACGCACATTGCAGGGAGCAGAAAGTGGATAATAGTGAAAGCAGCTCCTCTGAGGAGGCTCTGAGTTCTCGTCAAGAAGGCTGATTTCTGCCATTTTGTAAATTTTGACCATCATTTGCTACACCATACTTACAAATATGCTTAATAAATGCAAGACATTGAATGGAAAGGGTGTTCTTTTCCCATTTCACAAAAACTGCCACTACGTAGTGCGTACAACTTGAGAAGGTGATGAACAGTAATAGAACGACACCGCTCTCAAAACACATTCCAACGACTTGTTTGTCTGCCTGATGTTCTGTTAATTAAGAAAATTAAGAAGAGAAAATCTTCGACTGTCCTTCCAGAGATGGTGATTGTTTCAGTTTAAAACCATTCACTCTACTTATAACGCGCCGAAGAGTACGCGAGATCTTGCTAAATTAGCATATCGGACGTAAAAGTTGATCGGAAATGCGACGTGTAATTTAGTCCCAAGATGAAAAATTCAACGTGGAGACAGGGTTTTTCTCCTACCACTCCTGCCACGTGAAGAGTTCGAACCTCTATAATACTGAAGGAAAATTAGCATAGCAACCTTCAAGCGAATGAGCGGAAAATGTTGCTTCCTGAACTCTATCCAGGGAAAACTATTGCTTAGGTTACTTAGGTTGCCCAAAAGTGAAGTCACATTAGGACCGAGGCAATAATAGAGGCAACCGTCTTGGACTCTAGGAGGAGGAATGTATACGCAGCCATGCGATACTAGCTTTCACTCCCAGCAGTGCAGTGACACAAAGCATCGCGAGAGTGGTTTCAACATTATGAAGTGCTTCTAATGGAGTAACCAGGTTAGTCCTTTCAGCCAAACATCGCAGAACCACTACAGGACGAGAAGCAAGTAGTTCTGTTCAGAGTGCTCATTCTGTTCCCTTCCTCTTGCCTTGGCATCAGGCAAGCGAAGCTATTCGCTCTTTTTCAAATCTTTGGGACTCAGCGAGATTTTTGAGACCCAAATTATCAGATCGATCAATTACTGAAGTCTGGTAGTTGAGTGATACGGACGAGTTGTCCGACCGCAGCAGGATGGGGCAATTGCGGCCTGTGCGCTCTAATGCCAATGGGATCGCGCCATATGACCCCCTCACCTTATTCCAAGCCTAATCGGCCGCTCGACCGTGTTATTTTTCGGAAAATGAAGGATGTTTATGGGCATTGACCTATGAGAAATTACAGCTTTATCACCAGCACTGTAATAACCCTTCTTTAATAGCATCAGTCAAATGCATAAATGCATGCATGTTGCCTAATACGAGAGCACGGCTATGCTCAGTTTAATGGAGTTTACTATGACATGCGCACAGTAGCGAGCGGAGCCAAACTAGTATATAATTCGCTAAGTATGTCTGTCTGTGTGTGCGTCCGTTTGTCACGAAATTCATAGCGCGCTTCGCTGCAGCCATGGAGCGCTGTATTTTGAGTATGATGTAGGGGGTGGGACGGGAACATATTTGGTGGGGGTCAGAAAGTGATAACGACTGATAAGAGCTGATAAGAGGCGCTGAAAAGCAAATTTCACGAAATTCACTGTGGGTGTCCCAGCAGCAGAGAGGCATTGGTTTCGATAGGTGATGTAGAGGGTGGGACATACTTGGTCAATGACAGGAAATGATAACGGCTGATACCGACTGATAGCTAACGGCGTGCGTAAGAACGTATAGGTCATTCAAAAACAGATTTGAGGTAAAGCAATTCATTTCACTATCATTTCATTTGCGTGCTCGGCGCCTCGGCCCAGATTACCTCCGGCCGCTACACTCCCCAGAGTTCCTAAAATGTACAGTGGGTGTTTGAAGAAACCTGATGTGAGTGATAACGGCTATTAAGTACCGGAGATAACGATGCACGTGAGAACTTCGAGCTTACTTGAAACCAGATTGAGATAAGATAAGATATATGACCAGATAGATATTGAGATAATAACGCATTTAATTTCAACATCGTTTCATTTACGTTGTTATCTTCAGCGCAAAATACCACCCCACCGCTATCTCCCCATATCCTGAAACGCACGGTGGATGTTCAATGAAATACGATAATGAGTAACGGGTATTTTCATTTCAACATCAGTAGCACCAGATATTAATCTGACATTAGACGCAGAGTGATTATTCACAGAAATCACACTAGCTCAGCTTTTTAGCTTTTGCTCAACCGCGCGTACCAACAGCTAACGCATTTCATGAATCAGCTTATATCTACCCTGTGGAACCTAACGCTCCTCCTTATGCCAAGTTTCACCGGAGTCTTCGATGACATGCGCTCGGTAGCGTGCGGCGCTAGATTGGTTGGAATGAAAGCGAGAGCCCTTGTGTATGATGAGAGTGGTGGTCGGATATCGGACGTTGCCACCGATTAGCCAAAAGTTCTGATTGAAGCACTCGTGCGTAGGACCATTGAGGAGGTTCTGCCCAACCTGGGCGTATATGGTTTGTAGGAGTCCAAATTATACGAAAGGAGCCAGAAATTCCAAAAAATAGAGGCGTGCGGTGATGAAACTGAAGGATCGTCCATGAATCTCTAGCTCGTTTCGTTTGATGAAAGCGACTCGCTTTTCCAATTATTAGCAGCGTTCGCTTGAAAAGGGATTCTTCTGTACAGCCCACGAAGCTTTGCTGATAGATCTGAAATTATGATCGACAACGATCGAGCTCTACAAAGCCAAAACTGTAATGTAATAACTTTCATAAGGTCAGTGGGCTGGCCATATTCTTCCGTATCAGTGGAAAAGCAATACCATTAAGTCAAAATTTACCAAAAACATACCTCATTATAAAGGGACGGACACATCACTGAGAGGTGTCTTAGATGCAGATCGCACCGGCAACCCTGCACAAATTGGACCAGCTAGGCTGCGGAGTGATGCTTGCTCTATCAACCACTTTATAAGAATCTCGATAGCTTCTTCAAAGAGAGATGACTCAGAACCTGACATGATGCTAGAACGACTTTCCCTCAGAGCTCCAGCACTCAAAACAAACGTGCTAACTGAATTCGTTTCCTATAGCGGAAGCAGCGCACATTAGAACAGTTTCTATTGCAACATGAAAGTTTCCGTTTAAGCTACGATGGCTGCGTTTGAATTCGGGATCGAGTAAGTGAGCATAGTACGCTTATACCTGATTTACGTTCAGGCTTGGTCCTGAAGTCAAGCGGGTAAATGAGTTGTAGCCCTCGATATTGAAGTCATACCCCAGGATCACATTGGTGTGGCTCTTGCACACGAATGCGAATGTATTGGTGCGAAATGGGCCGGCAGTAAAAAAAAGGAAAAGAATCCGTCGAAAACGCTCAGGTTAAGGGCTCACTCACCTTCCTAATCGGCTGTGCTAAGGGAATGAGAGACTAAGCGCGGAGAGGAGAGTATGAGGCGAGAGAGCGCTACAGATGAGAGAGCGCCAGACAACAGCCTGATAAGAGAAAAATCTGCAGCTTCAGCAACTT